GTGTCCGCCACTGTAGAATTTTTTTTAAATTAAAAATATTTTTTTTAAACAAGATTGATTCTTGAATGTCATAATAACATACATTTTTGATATGTGAATGAGGAAATGCTGTATGGTTCAAGTTTATAACAAAGTAAAAATAATTTAATGATGGAAATTTAACTATAGCACCAGTTTGAGAATTACACAATTTGACTCTAAAAGATGGTGGAAACTAAATTAACATAACAAGTCGGGACATAATTGATTAAAATCTACTTCAAGATTCACTGAATAAAGCTTCAACTTTGGAAAGTCTTAGTTTTTGCATATTTTAAATTCCGTTCGTAGCATGTAATTATCAAAATGTTTCCTCGTAAACAACAGGATGAAAATAATTTTGTGTCTATTGATTTTTTAAAAGTTTTAATTTGTTTTATATAAATGGAAACAACTGCGTTTCTTTTGTGTGTTTGACTCTAAACCAATTTTGCAAATTCGGATTAATTTTAGATTTTTATGAGGTTTTTGTCGCATTGTCTTAAAACTTGTTTTAATAAATTCAGGTATAGTGTGAAGCTTATTACTTCAAATGGTAAGTTGGCGTTAGAAGAGATTAAAAGATATTTTAAGATTAATATTAGACGAGACGTTAAATAATAGTGTCTACCAAAAGTAGATTAGGTGATACATGTAGGTAGAGTTAAATGAAATGTGATACTAGAGGTAGGAACACGATAAGTAAAATAAATCTTTCCTTCTGATCACCAATAAACTCTATCAACTTGTAAGTCGTGACATGTTTTATGAATGTCTCCATATTAAAAGTTCCTAGGATTAAACTGATACAAATCAGTCTCAAAATGAGAAATGGCGTTTTAGAAATGAATTTTGCAAAGACTTTGTAATTGAGTTTTTTTTTTGAAAAAATCCCGTTTTATAAACAGCAGACGAAAAGTTACTCCCAGCGAGTCCAAGCAATGTTTTAAAGAGTAAGGACATTAAATTTTTTTGATGGTACATGTAGTGGAAATAAGCTTAGAAGTCGTTTTTTGTTTTTTATGAGCTGTAAATATGAAATGATTTAGGGTTTAGATATCAAGTAAGGGGCCCAGAATAAAAACCACATATTAATAAGTAAACACAAGATCAATAAATTAAATCGTAAAAACAAATCCACTGTCGTAATCTTCTTCTATTAGAAAAAGACACCAAAAATGAATTTTGACAAAAAACGAAAATCAATAAGTACAATCAATAATAATAATTATTATAAAATGTGAAAAATTGCGGCTATGTATTGCATTGTTACAAGAACAAAAAACTCATAAATCTGCATTTTAACATTATACAGGGTGCGCCAGAACTCGCGCCCCAGAGAAAAATGCCATATAAGGTAAGATACCAGGAACATGGAAAAAATGTTAAAAAAAAATATCTATTAACATTTCGAAGTTATGAGGGTTTAAAGTTTGCACTTTGACTCTATTTATTTCTGTGGGAAAAATAATTTTCATAATATCATTAATAGATATAAAAATATGTCAAATGTCAAAAAATATATGTCAAAATTTTTTGACAGATAGAATTTTTTAAACATTTTTTTCATGTTCCTGGCGCGAGTTCTGGCGCATCCTGTATGTAGATCAGATGAGTGATAGTCACTAGCCAATTACTATTATGTTTTTTCTCTTTCTCATTTGCATTTCATACGTATTATTGGAAAGTTCGACAGTCTGGGTGTATGTTGATTGTCAGTGTAAATTAGAAGATTAGGCCGGTTGTCAGTAATGACATTAACACTAATTCTCTGCCTGATTACCTTAACAAGGTGAAAGATATACATTATTAGATACACATCTAGCTATTAATCAAATACATCTCGGTTTATTATACTTGCAGCAGTAATACGATAATTCCTCAGTCAAATTGGATTATTTACAAAATTAGTTCTCTTCCGACAGTGTTATTAAGTAAAGCAAAATCGAAAGAGACTTACGAGGCACATATAAAATGTACGTAGTTTAAATAAGAAGTCATTTTATACAAGGACTTAAGTGAACTTCTTTTTAAATTATTCGATATTTTACCAAAAAATCTGTTTCAAAAACAGATTTTAGTAAATCATGTATGTATTTTAGTATAGGTAGTTGTATAGGTAATTCAATTTTTATAATTTTATGTAATTTGACCAAATTGATTGCTGTTTTTTTAACACAATTATGCAGGTGGAGATTTTTTGAAAATATTGAAAAATATTTTTATTGCTCTCTGTTTCTGCTTTAGATTCTAGTTTTCTTCTAACTAGATTACATAAAAATCTCTTCTCGTACCATGTAGGTACTTCTTTATAAAAAAAAAACATAAGAATTCAGTATTAGCTACGCCGCTCAATGTTTCTAGAAAATACAATGTTCTTTATTCCTTCAATTGTTGGTAGAAAAGCATTACGTAGAAAGAGTTTGTTTAAAGAAATTGAAACAAGACGAGACTACCATTTAGTTGTAGATAAAACACGATTTGATTATAAATGTAGTTAAAAATTCATGATCTCTCAGTTTTCTCCTTTAACTTTCAAAACTTTTACCTTAAACATTTATTTTTAAACATTTTATCTCGAGAATAAAAAACAAAAATACAAACAAAACTCAAAACAATAATAGGTATTACGCTTTCAATCTTATTTGGAGATGATGTTGTACTTATTACAAAATGCTTTTTGTTTTTTTTTTCTCCTAAATTTTTATCAATTTTTAATAAAGTCCATATTTCATTTGGTACTAGTTCTCGTAGTAAGTGCATACTAGAAGCCGACTATTTCTATTAGGTATAAGCAATTTTCCTTTGTTTTTCGCACTTATATGGCAAAACCTCCAATTTGCAAAACCTTTTGGCGTTGCTATAGGACAAGAATTCTTTCCAACACAATCCTACAGCTATCGGCTCCCTGTTTCCACTTCGTTAAAATTCCCAAGATGTAATTCTGGTCTATTGTTATTTCTGCCGTGAATGTCGAACGAAAACTTATCCCGATTAGAAGCAGACCGCCGTCGTATTAAATAAAATCCAAGGTCTGCTTCCTATTGTGTGCGGCAATGATACGCTACACATACACATAAACCTCCTAGAACAGGCTCGTCGTCGTCGTGAGTAGCTTCGAGCACCAGATTGCTACACACCAAACTTTCTCAGTGCGGTTCCGACGGTGTGTCAGGTGCCTGCTTGGTCCTGCTGTGCCTTCAGATGCCTCCTGCTAATAAACCCCTTCCTACCCAGCCCAGGAGGAGACAACGGTATCTTATCTGGTTGATTTAGTGCATCTACGCGTGATGTGCCAGTGATGCGACTGAGTTTAGTTGATTTTCTGTGATTTGTGCAGTGGTATTGATTCTTGCAGTGTAAATGTGATTCGAGGCTTTTTTAGGTCCGGATTATTGAATTTTAGAACGGGCGTTAGAGACTAATGAGCTAAGGGCACCCACGCTTAGTGACTTTGTCAATTATCAAAGGACCAAAGTCACAACAGTGAACGATAATGTGAAACTGGGAATTTGGTAATTGATCAAATTCTTTAGGTGTCGCATTTTGCTGGAAAAATATTTTTTATATTCAATATTATGTGATTCAAAATATGAGGAATTTTAATTTCTACGTGGGGAGTAAATTCTTTTGTTGAATAACATTTAATTGTTCGGATTAGTAAATCAATAAACAATTATAGAGAGTTAGATTCGAATTTTAAAAAATGTTTTCAACATTGCATTAGCTAGGACAATTTTTAAACTCAATAAACTGTGTTTTGTATAAATCTGTAACGAGCTAAATTTTTAGACCAAAACAGTTTTGCAAGTTTTTCCGGAATCTAGATTGTGTATTCAGTTTTTAAATGAGTTTTGAAACACATTTACTTTTTTCTATTTTCAGAATTTGTTACTACCTACATGTGTTGCAGTACAACAGAATACTACATTTCGGTGTATAGTAATGAAATACTAATTACGAGTATAATAAGACGTATATTTGGGATTCAATTTACCCACCTACTCGTACTTTTACAAATATTATGTAATAATTTGTTTACTGCAGTTTACTTTTTGTTCTTGTTTTCTTCTTTCTATTTAAATTATTTAATTTTTTAGTTACTTTTAACATATTTTATTATTTTATTTTTATTTCTTAATTAATTTTAGGTTGAGTTTTTACTTCGGCAACTATATACATAATTATACAGGGTATTTTCTTAATATTGCGTAAAATTGCAACCACATATTCTACATCGGAAAATAATACTAATTCGTCAGAAAAATGATAGTCCTATAAAGCTTCATTACGAATCTTTAGGGTTATAAAGTTTTATGATAAAAATTAAAATCCATTAGTTCCTCCAAAACCACTTGCGTTATTTTCATAAAATTTTACAGGCTTTGTGAGCCACTGAAAGTACTTATATTCCGGAAATTATTTTTACTCTTACCAGGGGCGTGTGTACGGGCACGTCACTGGTAATTTTTATTTTTTATTAGTGTTATTTTTTGATGTAGAATGTTAAGAAAATACCTTGGATATATCAAGCAGGATTTGACAAGAAGCAGTCTCGGAATAGTGAAGTTATGTAAAGATGTGAAAAATAGTTTTATGAAAATATTTTAATATAAATCTATTTTCCAATATTTCTTAGGCTTTTTATGAACTCAGGTTATATTGTTGACATTACATTTTTGCTCGATATAAGCTTTAATCGAAGATTTCAACCAGAACCTGTCATTTTATAGATACTCAACTACAACAGAACATCATAATAAATAAATGATGATTCAATGCCATCTTCAGATTTTTATGCCATTTTTAAAATGTCAAGAATAACCAACCATTCTTTATCATCATAATATGTCAATGCTGTTACATTGATTCCTCATTAAATAAAATGTCAGATTAGTTATTTTAGCTATTTCTATATTACTGCACATTTTTGATCTACTTTCATTGAAGTTGTAATGAAGGTTGGCACAAACATTTTTCCAGTAGAATGCGAATGTATGGAATGTAGAAATCAGTCAGTTTTTTTTGTTTCATTTTGAAATGACTATTTGCTGGTCTAAAATCTGGAAATGCACTTCATAAAATACTTGTACGAATGTTTATTTTTCCGCCTACATTTTGGTTTGATGTTTAAGCTCTCAGGTTGTAAATCGTCGTTAAAATGCCGAAATAGTGCTTCCATAAATATTTAAATAATCGGCAAGTGAAAAGCTGGTGATAAAACAATGTTTAGCAATAAACAAAGTTGATAGTGGATCTTTAATGAAAACATTGTGTTGTGATGGTTGGATTAAACGTGGATTAAGCTGTTGGATCTGCATCGAAATATGATTATTCAGAGGGATCAGGAGGATATCATGGAGACTATCACAGACGAAGAGACATTGGAGGAATGCAATGGTAAATATTTTTGTAGTTAACGAAGGCAAAATCGGAATTATACGATGAATGCTTATATTGTTGTGTTAAAATTCCCTATTAGGGAGTTATTTTGATCATACGAAAGAGCTTTGATTTTCCCAAACATTAGATGGGATTGAGTTGCTTTGATTTTCCTTGTAATTAATTGCTTAAAGTTACTGGGTTGTTAATTTAATTATGAAGGAGAGAAGGATAATTATGGCAGTTTGACGCGTTTTTTGGATTTTTTCTGATTGATAAGTACAATTTTTAGAATTCTTTTTTTGAATTATTCAAACGACACTTAACGGTGCTTTAATTAAGGCGGTTGTATTAATTTCAGAACTTGTTTTTGAATCAAGATTGATTTAAATGCTTGCATGACTGATCTAATTTAACAAATTAATAATTAATAATTCGGAATGAATATTTCCTTTCGCTGTTTCTGTCCCATATTACAGTTTCTTATTTAATATTTCCATAGTTTTGGGGTTTGCTTGTGTAACTGTTTTGTTTTTATTTGACGATTTGTTAACTGAAAGAATTCACACATTTGAGACTACACAACAGAACAAATTACACAAATTTTATTAGGTTCTATCTACTTATGTAAATTGTACAACCTTGTTAATTAAAAACTAAGCAGATTAACTGTGCGTTAAATTATTAATGAATTATTCTTCATTTTGTTTGACTCAGCATTAAACTGTAAAACAGATAGTATTTTTGTTATCTTCATTTTATTATTAGTGATATAAATAGAAACGCCTAATTATTATTTGTATGATTCCCATTTGGCTGTAGGTATACCAGACATTATTTAATTTTTTTTATTCATTTACTATAGTGTTTGGCGATTTTTGCTATCACGCACTAATTTATGACGGTATTATTATCACAATTCTTAATTTAACTTTAACGTCAATTGTATGAACAAATTGCAAAAATGGTTGTTAAATGTGAAAATGAGTTATCATGATATTTTTTACAACAGACAAATTGTTTTCGCTGCTTAAAAATACATTTTTGTTAATTTAAAAATGCGGTAATTTCTTTTAAATGCAGTCATAAATTTGGTATTTAGACGAAAATTTTGTCATTTTGTGGTATTATTTAAATAAGCATAATAGGTATATAATAGGTATATGAAATAGGTATATCAGCAAACAGTATAAAACAAAAAATTTAGATCCGGTAAGTTATAGTATCCATTTGATACTAACATCTTATTTGTATTGTATGATAACTGACTTTTCTGACTTACGAGTATAACGTAAATTACTAATTATGAAGTTTGAAAAGTCAAAATCTAATTATCAAATTTTATAATTATTATATCTTAGTGTACTTATGTGTACTGCACTAAAAATGTCTAATTAACACAAACACTTTTTCTAATTAAAACAGAATTAAAAATTCAATACTGTGTTACTAATTACAAGGTGTGTCACACAGCTGAATTATTTTTTATGTTTCTTGGCCAAGGTTCACGGGTCAAACATCAAAGATACATATTCTGTAACATCAAAGAGGAAAAACATTTGTAACTATAATTATCAAAAACAAACGCCTTTTTCGCATTGTTCTGTTTACATATTCTTTCAATTTAATTCTACTGTTACTAGCAAATTGGCTCATATGTATATAAATATTTATTTATTTGACAAAAAAATCTCTTTCTTTAACAAATTGGGATGAATATTATTTTTATAAAAATTTTGATTACTACAAAAATAAGAAAAACAATATTCATATATATATATATATATTCATATTCATTCGTTAAAACATATAAGTTTTAGTTCTAGTTTTCACTTTCTGTGGCTAAATACATACGTAGTAGCAACACCGAAATCCAAAAATTCCTAATTAAAAAAAGTTTTAGTTTTGTTCTAGCTTTTTAGACTTTTAATTTCTCAATTAAACCTTTCTGAGTCTAATATTTGAAATATCAATGAACAAAAAAATTTGGAAATTTGGAATAACGCATTAAATAAACATTTCAGGAAAGTTTGGAAGCTTATTATTGCAACAACTCTGCTTCAGTTTGCAACTGAGCAATTGCCACCATAGAAAAAATATTTAGGGTGAAATACAGAAATAAGCTTTTTGCAGGATACCAGCCTGTATAAAGAAACCAGCGACAATTTCTCAACGCGTTGAAACATCTTAGAAAATTTGTGACCCGGAATAGTAAACTCTTTCTTCCGTTTTGTGAATATTTACTTTTATTGGCAATGCCTTTCGTGCAAATAGGATAACCTGCAGCGATTTATTCTGAACTGTTTCATCTCGGAAAATCTATATTGACAATTGTAGACATTTGTTATTGCAACTATAACCCCGTTTTGGGTGAGCGATTTAATTTTCCCTTTAGTATAGCGTTCATGATTTTATTACTAATTGTTTTTCTTTCATGTAATTTCGCCGCAAAAAACCGGTACCGTAGTCTTGCTCCAAAACGGTCAATTTGTATAGCGGTGTCCAGCAAGCAATGGCAACATTTAATTAAAGACACATTAATCTCCTTTGGCCAAAATTAATAGGTTTTGATACCAGTTAATTACTATGTTTATTAAAGCAATTTCGTGTGGCTTTTAACCTTTTTTACCGCTCAGCTCACCAACCAACCAATATAGGTATAAAGATGTTCAGCTTTAATTTTGTCAAAAATTTGCATTTTTATAAAAAAAAATTCAACTTGCCTTAAGCACAAATTACTCAGTGATTATCGTGTCGGATTAATTTCTCAAACATGCATAATGCATAGAATTATCATAAATAAAGAATTTATTAAATAAATACTATCAAATTATGTCTGCATCGAACGATAATTCCAAATTATTATCAAAATTGTTGTTTGTGGGCAGCTTAACCCAATAAAGTAAGTTTTGAAACCAGTTCGCCTGCTTTTCCAACTCTGAATGGTTTAATGGTCATAAATCATTTCTATGATATAAGCGACAATTTTTTGTCAAATAAGCAGTAATCGATACGAATCGTAAATTATTTTTTAATTACTTATTTCAAGTTATTTCTGATTTCGTAGCCGTTTCAAACATTAAGGTGTGTGGATGCGTGGGATAATTACACCAACGCATTTACATTTAATTATCTCAGGTGCTAATGCAACACCGTCAACTATTAAGTTGACTGCCCAAATTTGCTTGTAATCTATTGATAATAATCGAAAGCTGTTGACAGATTCAATATTCTATATTTTATAATCGCTTGTTTCAGTTTAATAATTATCTGACGACTTAACTCACATAACATGCCGGTAATGAAATAAGGCCTTATTCTCTCTCAGATTTTACATTATGAAAATTATATCGCTCATATGTATGTAGGTACGATTTAATTTTTAATTATGGTTTAAAAAGATTTTACTACTTTTTGAAATTTTAAAAATTATAAGTATGTCAATTATCGTTTCAAAGAAACATCAACTATTGTGAAAATTGATTAAAAATGAAAATAAAAAGTATGTTTTTCAATACTCTTCACTTCGCTCGTCTGATGCTGCAATAAAATATTTCTGACTACAAAATTTAAGTTCATTGTTTTGAAGTAAAGTTTTCTACTCTACGATATTGACTCGTAATTATTTGAATGACATTTTAGAAACTTCAGTTTCAAGGCATTTTACAATGACAAAATTTTGGTTTTGACAAAGTGTCTTAGTTTTCAACGGCCGCGACTGTACAACAATACATCGTCTAAAATTTTTATAATAAATATGTAATGTACTATTTAAGTACAGGCTGTTCTAGCTAAAGACCACATTAGAAGTATTGGTAGTTTTAACAATGATATATTTTTTGTTGCGTTTTTTAATTTCTTAAATGATTCTGATAGAGTTTTTATTAATCTTCCCTATACTTAAGTTTAACCGTTTCCAAATTTTTGGACTTTTTTGAAATATTTTGCATTTGCACCTTCATATTCAAAAATCGATAACTCTATCATTATTTATTATTTTTGAAATCGTATTTGGGTATATGAAAAAAAAGGTTAGATTTTTCGGTTGTTCTATTTATAAAAAAATGTGAAAATAAGAATTATTTCTATTTTTTACAGCCGTCTAAAATTATTCCACATAAATGTCGCCAACCGTCGCAAAATTCTCTAGAAAAAAAATTAAAATTTTTTTAAAGCACTTGTTACAGAAAATTCTTCAAGCACTCATTTGTTCCTCAACTCGCCGCTACGCGGCTCGTTACGGAATTTCAAATTTGTGCTTTAATATACAAATTTTCTAATTTGCGTTTATAATACGTTTATTAACGTCTTTTAGTAGGAGTCGTTTATGGCTATCTATAAAAGCACACTGTACTTTAATGATTTTTTTCTAATTTGCGTTTATAATACGTTTATTAACGTCTCCAGTAGGAGTCGTTTATGGCTATCTATAAAAGCACACTGTACTTTAATGAATTTAGGGTTATTTAGTTTTTGTATGCCGCTTCTGACTTGTCAGATAACAAATTTTGCGTTGTTGCAATTGCGTTCGGCAATTTCGCGAATTTCGGGCGGAGTGCAAATTAAATTCTGTTGGCTAATATTTTATTTATTATTATTATGTTGTAACACTAATAACTAATAATTTGTAAATTATATTTTTAATGACAAACGACAGAAATGATGCAAAAAATCAGGTGGGCGCCGAGTGTCACCAACCGATGCAAACTAACACAAAATTTTCTAGACGACAAAATTTTTTTTTTTTTTTAATTAAAATATAAGAAAAAAGGGGGTGCAAATTAGAAAAATAGTATAAAATATACGTTTTATAATGGCATTGGCGCACTCTCGCCTACGGCTCGTTTTCTAACTTGGGATTTAATTAAGTACAAATATTTATTAATTTTTTTGTGGAGATCTTATAAAAAGTATAGTATGTAACACGTGTATAAACTTCTCTAGACATTCGTTTTATTAAACACTCGCTTCGCTTGTGCCTAATAAAATTCATGTCTAAAGTGGCGTTGTACATAATA